CTTAAACTGGAGCAACTGTGGACTCTCATCCCTCTTCAGTAAAGCTCTTAACTCCTAAACACGTTGACTTTTATTTATTTTTTTTTAAATTGGGCTTAAGCACATGCTTAAATTGTTTGCTGAATCCTGGGCCATTGTAGGCGCCTTGGCTATGTGAAGAACTGTTTGGGCTGAAGGGCCACTTAGGGAGTTTTGGTGAGCTGTTGTGGGCTGGGTCAGCACCCTTCCTCCCTCTGCCCTCTGGCCCACAACAGCTCACCAAAACTCCCTCCTGGGGCCCGGCCCCACACTGTTACCACTCAGTGATCCCAGCTTTCAGCTCTATAGAGAATGGCCTGGGACCCCAGCAGGCAGAGTGCACTTGGCCAGTTGAATGGGATGGAGCTGCATGAGGGGGTGGGAAGCAGCATCTGGGAGCAGGACAGGGGACAAGGCTGGGATTGGGGCTGGGGTCATGAGGCAGTGACAGCCTGGGTCTGAGGCAGAGCTGTGATCCACTCCTGGCACACCCCTCCCTGTGGAAACCATGCCCGTTGCAGGGATATGCAGGCAGAGCAACAGCTCTGCCCCAGGACTTGGCCCCACACTGTTACTGCCCTGAGTTCCCAGCCCCACCTGCCTGTCCGACTCCTGGATGCTGTTTCCCACTCACCCATGGCCGCATCCCATGTACCAGGCTGAGCAAATCTTGTCTGCAAAGGTCCTGGGCTGATCTCCATGGAGATCCTGCCCACATGCTCCATCTGATGCCCCCGGCAGTGGATTCAGGGAGGATTGGCCAGGGCGCCTGGGCAGCGGGACCAGGTCTAGCAGCAGCAGTCACACTGGCAGGGCTGCCAGGAAGTGGAGTCTGGCCGCCACACCACCCCAGCCCTGCTGTGCACCTGGCAGAAACAGCCACATGAACCACAGTCCAGGCTGCCCTCTGTGCCTGGACCAGACAGGTCTAAGGACCTGTCCAGGCTAGTTAAAATCCCTTGGTCACCTGGATCCAGCCCACAGCCTGTATACACTCCCACCACTGTCTTAGGCAATGTTCATTTTCTTATTTGAATTATACACTGCTAAATAGATGAGACTGAACCTAAATCCTGTAGTCTAATTTACTGGACTGGGACTTGCAAGGCACTGGCTTCCACCCCAGCATGACTACAATCTTGCAGCATAACCTTTCTGTTCCTCAGTCCCTCATCTGCAAAATACGGATAAATATAGTTCCTTTCTTCCAGCCTTGTCTGTTATGTCTGTTTAGACAGTAAATCCCTTAATCCATGGGCAGGTATTACATTTATAACGCTAATATGCCCTTGAAGTGTTACAAAAAGCAAGCATAGAGCCACTCAAGCTGTTTGTAGCACTACAAAGATAGGAAAAGCATTACAAAATATTGCCTCTTCCAGAACCAAAACTTCTTGGTTTTGAAGCACTGCATTTTAACACCTGTATAGTTACATGCCTGTAGAGTTACAAGTGAGAGGGAGAGTGATTGCCTTCCTGATATACTCCCACAGATGAACTGCCAGGGAGCCTTGCTGGGACCTTGCTGCTACTGTGGCCAGCACATCAAGAGTCTCAACTCTTTCCAGGGCTTTTAAAGTGGTGGCAGCAATTCCCACAGGGATGGCTGTCAAGGCCCTGGTGTCTCTCTCTGCGCCTGCCTGGCTTCACCAATCAGCTGCAGCTCTGCTGGCTGCAGGGCCCTCACAGTGCTGGTTCTACCATATGTCCTGACACAGGATAACATTTTCAAAAGCACCTAAGAGATCTAGGAACTCAAAGCTGGCTAAAAGCTTTGTGAAATGGACACCTAAGTGCCACACTGAAATGCAACTTAAAGGATATAACTTGATTTTGTGTGATAATAGACATGTCTGTGCTTGTACTCTCTACCAAGAACTCTTCAGAAAGATGCTAATATAGGCTGTGTGGATGGAGGCTTGGCTGCTGCTTCCCTCCTATCCAAACTGAAACAGGAGGACTAAGAAAAGTTTTAGCAATTTCTTCTAGGGAAAGTGTCCACATTTCCAAAAGAGATCAACCTTCCTCAATTCAGGGAAATAGCAACAGATACCATTTTATAACACTTTGCATACATGTTAGATCTTCCCTGTAGTGGAACACAACATTGATTTTTTTACACTAATCTTTTGGTAGGAGTGAGATCCCCATATGCTTAGAACACTGGAATAGTTCACAGTGTTGCTCCACATGAGCATCATAAGAAATGAAGACCTTAAGTATTCCCAGAACAATTAAAGACTTAATGTAAAGGAAGGTTCCAAAATATTTGCGGCCACAGATACATTTGAAACCCCAAAAGCCTGAGCAGACCCTTATAGCTCCTAATACATATTTACATTTCTTTCCCCCAGAGAATGTTTCTCTCTCTGTTCTATTAGGTGCTGACCATGGAGTGGGTGAGATTTTTGCTCCTTTGCTTTGTTTCAAATTGATGTGCTCTGCAAAGCTGAATAAAACAAATGATTAAAAAATGGGTGGATGAGAAATGCACTTCAGTGCAGTCTCTTCCCACACATAATCTAGGCATGGAATCTCAGTGATGGGAGGGATAGGCAAAAAAGAAAGGAAAAATGTGGTAGCAGAAACCTAAATCTGCAGAAAATATTAAACAAAGGGATATTTGGGGTGTGGTGTTGAGTGCACATACATGCATTTCACACTTGAGCCCAAATTATATATTGACACTCTACTCCTTAATACTAAGGGGATGTATAGTTGCTCTGTCCAAGGAGAGTTCTCTCTCTGTATATACTTGCTCTGGAGAATAAAAATGTGTTGCTGACCTTTTCTGGTAGATTACTAGTCCACTGTATTGGCCAGCAAGTGGGAGTCACAGAATTTGCTTTCTCCTGCATGCCTCAACCCTAAACCTCATTAACTGGAGTAGGATTTTAGGTGGACTTTTATTCCTAAGCATGGGCAAATAAATGGCTGCTTGTAGTTGTTAAAAAAAAAGTGGCACTTTACTTGAAACTTGGTGCGCTCCTGTGCTGAGCCCAGTGCATGCCCAGAACAGGAAGTGCCTTAGTTGGACCTTTCTTGCCCAACATCTGTATAAATCAGGCACTTTAGTGGGGCTTTTTGGTGTTTTTATCTAATAGCTGATTGAATCAGTTTTCCTAAAGGTGCCAAAAAGTCCCACTGAAGCAATCCATCTATACAGATGCTGCAGAGTTGGGTTGAAGTAAAACACTACTTCTTCCAGTAAAGTGCATTGTAATCTAACTTGTATCAGGAGGGATCTGGGACAGAAGTTCAAGACACTGGTCTAACCTAAAGTGATTCAACCTGCTACTACATCCATCCAGGTCTAACAAACTGAATTCTGCCATTTTGAAACCAATCTATATGCAATGAACTTCTGTCCTGTTACAGGTTTAGAATGATTTCCAATCATGTGCAATTTCTGTTCCTAGCCATAGTCACATCACAACATCACAAATTAAATCAGGGAGGAAGAAGTACTAAAAGTATTTATATGAAAATATTCAGGAAAAAGGACTACAGATTTTTCCTTTTGATTTATACAACATGTCAATATTTGTGGTTTATTAATCTGTTTCTTCCTAATGAAGACTTACTTTTTCCTTTTATCTGATATGTAATGCTTTTAATGTCCTCTGGAAACAATGATTAGTTAATATAAACAAGATGGGAATATCACAAAGTATAATATTTCAACAGTGCCTAATTCACTGAGAAGCCTGTTTTATCGAACAAAAACACTAAAACTTCAGCTCTTATGTACTTGACCACTTTTGAAAATGGGAATTTGCTGTTTTGAAAATTTTTATCCTAAATAGCTATTTTCTACGTAACAGCTAATAGAAGCTACCCCACTTCAGAAAGCCACACTTACCTTGTCTGACAGCTAGTGTTGTTGTGTAAACCAAGAATAGGAGGATGTAATTGAGGAAGCTCTGAAAAACAGGAGTGTTGGCATGGAAATCTTCTGACAGATACTTGCTGGTCAGGCCAATACCACAGATAAGGAGGGAGAGAACCTGGCCAAGAGCTACAGACAGCAGGAGCTCCCTAAAAGAAAGAAAGAAACAAACAAAAAATCAGACCTAAAAATCTCAGCCTATTAATGAGGAAATGCTTAGCATTCAACAAGCCTATTTGAAAGTGTGAAAAGTGTGAAAAATCAAATTTGGAATGTTAACATTCTTTTGGATCCACATTTTGTAACAGTAATACTTGCAGTTTTCCTCCTTTTCTCTGATCTCATTTCCATTTTGTTTTCTTAATTTTTTTCCTTCTGATATGTAAATTCTCTCTCTAATGTTTTTCATCTAGTTTCCCTTTTCTATTCTCTTTTCAGATTTTTTCTAAAAGATTCTTCTTTCAAATCCTCTTTACTCCAATAACATTTCTTACCTGATCTGTCCACTTACTGCAGTTTACTCCCCCATGAGCATTTCCTCCTCACCTTGACTTTCCTTCTTCCATGTTCCCTGTTTTTTATGCTCCCAAGATATTCCTTCCCTGTTTCCCCATGGTCTTTGTCATCTTAGCCCCTCATATACCTCTATGTGCAAGACTTATAAATAGTGGTTGTCCTGATAGTTTGGAGGGCTCCACTCACAGGTACTCAATTGACTTCACACAGGATGCAGACTGCTTGCTTGCCTTCCTTCACTTTTGGCACATTTTAGATACCACCACCCACAAGCATCTCATATCTATTATAGGACCATGTTGTGTCTATTGTGGTACCTCAATTCTTTCTTTTCGCTCTGTCATTCATGAAGGAAGGTGCTATCTTATTATGGGGTGAATTAGTTTACAGCACCCTAATGCCAGTGCACATATAGACGGTGATGCTTTAATGCTGAGCTAATTAGTCTACTTGCAGTAAAGGGCATGTGTAGATGCACCCTGGCCGCATCTACATCTACTGTGCAGTCATTACTGTGTAGTCATTTAGTATTTGTATAAACAAGTACTAAATGACTGTGCAGTAACCCAAGTTATTGTGCAGTACTGTCGATGGACAGATTTTCTGTGACACTGACTTTGCAGTAGCCCAAGACCTCTGTGCAGTAGTGTTGCGTGATGGTTGCTGCCATGCGACACTACTGCACAGTAGTCTTGGGCTACTATGCAGTCAATGTTGCATGTAGACATGGTCCCTGTGTTACTAAATCTCTTAAACCACTTTTTTAACAAAGCAGCTTGTAACAGTTTGGGCTAGACTGTCCTACAAATTAACAGGAAGTTTTCTTTAGCTAGGGACACAGAAATTTAAATCATGCAGCCATCCTATCCAGAATTATATCACACACTTGGAAAAATCATAGTCCAACCGAATTATTTTTAATTTCCTCCTTACTTGCATATTCTATACCCAAAGTACAAATAATGAAACTACTGGGCAGGGTGGGTCTAGGGAGAATTCCCAAAATCTGTTAGCATCATAATTCTCACTTATCCTTCTTACTGGTAATTTTCCTTTTATTTTTTATCTTTATTTTTGTTTTGTTTAGTTTGCTTTTGATTGGAACCATTGAATATTTTGAACATACTGGACTGGTTGGAATTGCGTAAATCTGGGAAAAAGTGTGGAAAAGATGATATAGTACAGGCATTATAGGGGCAAAACTTTGAGAACCACTGATCTAGTGGCTCCATTTCACATTTATATGATTTTCTATTTAGATTATAAGGTTCTCAGCGTGGGGACTATATCTTCAACCTAGCACTGAACATTATGTCAACATTTATCTAACAAATGAATTACATTCACTGTAAGTTAATGCTTTTATTGGGAGAAGAGGAAATTTATTCCACATTTAGATTGCATAGACATGCAAATTATGGGCCATAGAAATGACATTGAAGGGTTACAGATATCTATTCTCTGGCCAGGATTTTCATATCCACCTTCTTTGTTTTCTAATTGCTAGTACTGTCAGCGAATCACATTGTATTCTTCTTCATCAGAAATTAAGTGAACATTTTGTAGATGTAATTCTTTGATAGCTGCACTTTCTCTGCAGGATAAACAGTAGTTACAACTTAATTCAAAGAATGCAAAGGCATATAAACTACTCCCTACATCTTAAGTAGGAAAGGCCATTTAACATACTGTAGATACATTAATATACTATAGTTACATCTAAAACTGTTCACTATGCCACAAACTCTCTCTCCTAAAATTCAGAAATCCCTGCTAGAATAATTAATGATTTGCTGATTGCACTTCGCAGCATGGAAAATTTTATCAGTTATGCCCCTCACTGGGGCAGATAACTAGGAGCAACAAACGCTGATGTTGTGAACTGAATTCAAATAGCAAAATGAAGAAATAAGAAGTTTTCTTTCTTCACAAAAATAGGCTGCTCACCTGGCAATGTATTAGTATCAGTATACTAAGGTATTCTCATGAGTTGCCAGTCTACTCACAGGAAGCAATTACTTTGAAGCAAGGAATAGAAAGGTAGACTCTTGTCTAAGGCCAAAAAACCAGTCCTAAATAGGCTGCAGAAGTTTGATTTCAGCTGAGCTGAATGGGAACAGTGTGCATATACTTCTTTATGAGCTCCTTCTGAAATGTGTGCAATTACATGTACATTCATAAATGAAGCCCCTTTCCTCATCCTAGGATCATCCTCCGTTTCCTGTCATTTGGCCACTTTAGTCCACCACAGTATAGCATCAGCTCATCCTTTAAACTCACTCACCCCTGTGTTACAGTTTAGAAAACTAAAACAAAAAGAAGTTTCATGTTGGTTTAGATCTACCCAAAAGAAAATGGGAAGTACTAGACAAGATCAGAAGAGCAGAGGCTACAGTACATTTAATCTGCCCTTAGCAGATATAGCCTCAGCACAGGAGCAGGCAAAATACAGCCTATGGGCCAGATCCAGCCCACCAAGCACTTTCATCCAGCCTGTGGTGCTCACCAACAAATTGCACCCTGCCCCGCTCTTCTGCCCACAAGGGTGGGAGCAAGGCACCCACATGTTCCCCCCCAACATACCCTATAGCGCCTCGCTCCCACCTTCATGGGTGAAAGGGTGCAGCCCAACCAGCATCAGCTTCCAGGTGGGGCTGCTGCTGCTGCAGCCCCTAGAGACCTGCTCTGCGTCACCAGTCTCCCACTTGCTCCAGGCAGCAGGTAGGGAAATGGCATGGGTGGGGCTGCAGCTGGTCAGGAGCACGAAGCATGGGGCTGGGGCTGTGAAGCCCACACCCAGGAGGGCGACGGCAGTGTGGAGCTCGGCTGGGCAGCATGTGGGTGTGAAGGTAGGTGGGGAGGTTGGGGGGACCCCTGCATACTCCCCGCATGGCGTGCAGCCCCAGCAGGCAGTGGCAGCAGCAGGTGGGACACTTAAGGTGGAGGCGCCCAGTGGGACGTGGCTCTGGCCAGCACTGCACATCTCAGCAAGGGGCACAGCCTCCCCTGGGTCGTCTGTCTTGCTGGTGCTCTCTGCCACTCATGCACTGCCCCTGCACTTGCCAGGCATGGAAGGGAAGCCCCAGGCACTGGAGCCAGCTGCTTTCCCCGCCAGGGCTGTGCGGCAGGGGAGAGAAGCCTCTGGCACCTTTCCCTGAGAGGCAGGGAAGGCAACCAGCTCCTATGCCTGGGGCTTCCCTCCCACGCCTGGGGAGCGCCAGGGCTGAGCATGAGTAGCAGGGAGCACCAGTGATACAGATGGCCCAGGGGAGGCTGCACTCCTTGCTGAAATGTGGAGTGCTGGCTGGAGCTGCATCCCCCTGGGTGCTTGCACCCCGAGCACCCTGTTTGCTCCTGCTGTGCCATGGGGAGAGTGTGTGGGAGTGGTTCCCACCCTCCCTCATACCCCACAAACCCACACCCTACCCCCACAAAACCTCACATATACCCAATCTCCCAACATACCCTATGCCCTCCCCCACACAGTGACACCCCCTTACAACCCCCCACACCCTACCATACCCCCCCCCCACACCCCACCATACACACACACAGGCACTATACACCCCCCACAATATACGAGACTAAGAATTTATTTTGAGTTGTTATGCAATCACCCCTATATACACAATGCAAACACAAATCATGCCAAAAATATTTTTTGTAATAAAATTAAAATACATTATAGTAGGTGTTTGACTTTTAGTGTATGATTTGGTTTCTTTCTGATTCTAAGATGGCAAAACCCCACGCAAAAAGGAGTATTTCCAGGGGGCAAGAGGAAGGACTTCAAGTGGCAAAGGTCGGGGTTAGGGGTGGGACTTCGGGTCCCAAGATGGTGACAAGGGGGCAGGGCAAAGGGCAGGGCTGCCCATCTGGCTCTCAACAGCTCACCAAAGCTCATTAAGCAGCCCTCCACCTGAAATAATTGCCCACCCCTGCCTTAGCACAATCCAGTCTCTACCAGGCAGGGTCTCAGGCAGGGTCTCAATATTCTATAAATACGGAGTCTGATTCTGATCTCACATCAGTCTCAAGGTATCAGGAAAGCTGCATCAACACAAAACTTGTGGGAAAGGAAAAGGCCCATGATTAACTCTTTTGTGCTGATTCTTAATTTGGTGTTAGGGTGAAGTAACAAATTTGACTTAGACGTTACTGAATCTCTGGAATGTTAAGTGGTGTTTAAATTTGAATGTTATGTCTGTAGTTGCATTCTGGGCTTAATACCTTTTCTTGCCTGGACAGCTCTGAATTGCCACTAGAAGGTTGGGCAAGCTGTGTGGTGTGGCTAGAAGCCAGAACACTTGGGCTCTACCTCTGCTCTTGGGGGCAAGGGGGAGGGGGAGGGCTGGGAGATGTGCATCCTGGGATGATGAAGGACCAGCCAATTGCTGGTTTTATGTCCATGGAGCAGACTGAAGTTACCCCAACACAGCCCACATTTAACCCTTGCCTTAAGTGGTATAACTTTGAGACACTCAGGGGGCATTTAGCATGAGTTAATGAAATTAATTTGCAGGCGCTTGTGTTTTAAATGCCCTTAGTATGGTCTAAGTGTAACATGTAATTTCACCCTTATCCATTCTTTGCTACTGCTTGACATACTTGCGTTCATATTTGCGCATATGAACATAAGAGACTTCCAAAGGGATAAAAATCCAATACCAAAACACTTTAAGTCTAGCTTCTTCACAGTTAGCACATATACACATTCACAGGATATAAAGCAGTTAGATACATTTCCTTGGGTTTTCATCCAATTCAAATTTTCAAATGGGTTTTCATAAATTCAAAGTTTGAACTGCACTCCCGTTCATGCAGATGACCAGTCTATTTCTCCCTTATGCAACAGTGAAATGTCTCTTATAACACTTCTTCAAAGCAGCATTACATTTGGAATGGTCATTCTTTGATAACTGACCCACACTGGCAGAAAACTCTTCTGTTTTTCATTTGTCCCTTTTCCATTGCTAGGTCCCCACAGCAAAAGTTAAAGCACAGCTTAGAACAGGGATAGGCAATCACTTCTCCAGGTAAAGTTTAGAGC